CCACTGGCACCCTGTTCCCTATCCCAGCACCCCCTAGCACCCTTCCCCAGTACCATGTCCCCTGCTAACCCTGTCCTCATGGCACCCTGTTTCCTCTCCCCTGCCCTCAGCCACAGAATTGTGTTCCCACTGGCCCCCTCTCCCCTACTACAGAAACCTGTCCCCTGCCCTCCCCACACCCTGTTCCCTCGCCCCTGCCCCCACTGGCACCCTGTTCCCTATCCCAGCACCCCCTAGCACCCTTCCCCAGTACCATGTCCCCTGCTCCCAACTGACTTTTCTGTGGGTCAGTGACCCCTGACTCAAGACAGGTTCCCTGCCTGTCTCAGAAATAGACAATGCAGAAACTTTTTGTGTTTGACATAGTATTTTATTTAAAAATGAAGCCTGGCCAACAAACCCCCATTTGGGGCCAAGCCCCCATCTGGCCACAGTCACTCCTGCACTCCCCGTTCCCCCAGACCATAGATCTGAGCTTATCAAACACTGGAACCCCCTGCCCTGAGCCCCTCACATACCCCATCCCCAAATTCCTGCACCCTCACATCCACAAGCCTGTGGCTTTCTTAGTACCCCTACACTGCCCAGCCTGGAGCCCCCTCCCTGAGCCAGAGTCCCCTTCTCCACCTCCTCCTGCATCCAGATTTCCTCCCAGAGCTTGCACTTCTCACCCCTTCCCACACCCAAATCCCTCATTTCCACCCCAGAGTCTATATATCCTGTCTCTACCCAGCGAGGGTACAGCTAGACTTCAAGGCTGCGTCTAGACTGGCAAGTTTTTCCGCAAAAGCATGTGCTTTTACGGAAAAATTTGCCAGCTGTCTACACTGGCTGCTTGAATTTCCGCAAGAACACTGATGATCTCATGTAAGATTGTCAGTGTTCTTGTGGAAATACTATGCTGCTCCCAATTCTAGAAGCCTCTGCTGATTGGCTGAGCCTTGGTAGGGGGAGGAGCTTTATAAGGCAGTGGGCAAGCAACCAAGGAGCTTGCGAACAGGTGAGTGCTAACAGGGAGTTGTGAGAGGGAGTTGGGAAGGGCAGGAGGTTTTCTTGCCTTTCTTTTAAATCCCTTCTCCAGGACAGCAGCGATGGATGGTGATGGGTCTGCTGTTGTTACCTGCACAGTGTGTGCCATGTTTGTCTTCCTCCCGGAAGAAAGAACGGATTTCATCTGCACGAAGTGCAAGCTGGTCGCCATTTTGGAAGAAAAAATTAGAGGACTGGAGGCCCAAGTGTCGACCCTACGCTCGATCAGAGAGGATGAAGACTTCCTCGATAGAAGGCAGTGTTTAATCCTTCAAGCATGGTAGGTGGAAGAGCCAGAGAGGGCAGTATGTGACCAAGAAGAGAACTGGCAGCATGTAACTTCTAGAAGGGGAAAAAGGCCAGCACGGGAATCCCCCGATGCTATAGAGGTAAGTAATCGCTTTCAAGCTCTCTCCACAGCCTCTACAGTGCTGAAAGCTCTGGAAGGGAACTCACAAGCAAGAAACCAGAAGGGAACAACATCTATTGGAAGGCATGGGATGCGTAGTCCTAGGGATGGGGGTTCCACGGCCACCACCCCCAAAAGGAAACGACGGGTGGTGGTGGTCGGGGACTCCCTCCTAAGAGGGACTGAACCATCCCTCTGCCGTCCGGACCTGGAATCTCGAGAGGGAATCTCGAGACATATGCTGCTTACCGGGAGCTTGAATTCAGGATGTGACAGAGAGTCTTACAAACTGATCAAACCTTCGGATCGCTACCCCTTCCTGCTTCTCCACATGGGAACTAACGATACGGTCAAGAATGACCTTGAGCGGCTTACTGTGGATTACGTAGAGTTGGGAAGAAGGATCACAGAATTCGGAGCACAAGTGATGTTCTCCTCCATCCTCCCTGTTGAAGGGAAAGGACTGGGTAGGGATCGTCGAATTGAGGACGTAAATGCGTGGTTACACAGGTGGTGTCGGAGAGAGGGCTTTGGTTTCTTCGATAATGGGACTCTGTCCTGGGCACAAGGATTGTTAGGAAGAGAGGGGATCCACCTAATAAAGAGAGGAAGGAGCATCTTAGCGGGCAGGCTTGCAAACCTAGTGAGAAGGGCTTTAAACTAGGTTCGTCGGGGGACGGTGACCAAAACCCTGAGGGGAGTGGGAAAGTCAGATGCCGGGAAGAAATGCAAAGAGAAAGGGGCAAGAAAGGAGGACCCCTGTTTCGAATGGAGAAGATAGGACGATCAACTGGTTACCTGAAGTGTTTGTACACTAATGTGAGAAGCCTGGGCAACAAACAGGAAGAACTGGAGGCCCTGGCCCAGACCAAGAAATATGACTTAATTGGGATAACAGAGACTTGGTGGGCTGCTGGCAGCCCTTAGGTATGAGTCATCACTCATTCTTAAGGTTTGTCCTTGGCCCATTGAGTGCCATTGTCCCACAGGGCCTTGCTGATTAGCATGTCCATAGGCCGGGCACTGCCCAATGCTCAACCACATGCAGGGAAATATTCAGTATCCATACAAGCACATGCTTATAATTGCACACACAGACATTATACAAACACATGAACAGCATACATAGGATTAGCAGACAGTGAGCTTCTATTCAACACCCCACATGGCCCCCCTTTTATACCATTTTCTGGGGCCAACATCCCCACCTATGGGTGCAGCAGCGATCTGGCTGCTCCCCTCAAAATCCAGTAACATGACACCTTCCTACCTTCTTTGCTTCTGGGGGCTTCTTCAGCCTGTGGGCCAACCATCCCCTCTCTAAAGGGCTGTCGCTGGCTGACTTCTCACCAGTTGGCCAGCAGGACTTCCTTTCTCTAGGCTGCTTGTTCCTCTGGAAACCACTCCGTCGTGCTTCTCAGCCCTTTTAGGGTATGTCTAGATCGAACTAGGGTGGCTAATGTAGGCATTCGAACTTGCAAATGAAGCCCGGGATTTGAATATACCAGGCTTCATTTGCATGTTCCCGGGCAGGCGCCATGTTTAAATGCCCGTAGTTCGAACTACCTGCCCCCGGCTACACGCGGCACGGACTAGGTAGTTCGAATTAAAGCTCCTAATTCGAACTACCATTAAACTCCTCCCAGTTCGAACTAGGGTGGCAGTGTAGACATACCCTTATTCTTTCCAGCTGTTGTGAGGCTGTGTCAGTCAACACTGGCTGGTAATGCATTAACTCCCAACTCTCATGTCAGCATGGGTTCTATACACCCTATGAGAGTTATCAAGAGTACAGAAAGCCAAGTTATACCATTGTAATCCTTCTGCCAGGCTGAGTTAATAGCAGCAAGGGCCGGGTTCAGTATCTAGGGGTCTCCTCCCAACAAGATAATACAACACCGGCTCGAGCCCCTACCCAGTGACCTGGGAAATCTTACATACACCTCTGGGCGCCTCAAAGAGGCAATTCTTCCCCTCTCGCAAGCACAGAGCCTCAGTGTAGCAGAAAACCTTTAATAACATGAGGTAACCGACATCAGCATTAACTTGGGAAAACACCACAACTTGGATTCATAGACCAAACATGAGCAAAGACCCACCGCACAGCCACGAATCACCCAAAGTCCCAAAGTCCAACACCCCAAAAGTCTCTGCCCCGGGTCAGTGCCACCCCAGGGTTCAAAAGTTCACCGAGCAGGGTTTTACCATCCCAACCTGGAGGGGGCAGGGATTGATACACCTTATGAGGTCCGCCGATAGCTCCGCCTCTCCGTAGGGGTCTGCTCGGGTTAGTGCCGCCCCAGGGTTCAAAAGTTCACCCAGCAGAGTTTTACCATCCCAAGCTAGAGGGGAGGGGATTGATACACCTTACGTGGTCCGCTGGTGGCTCCGCCTCTCTGTAGGGTTCTGCCACCGCCGTCAACATGAGTCACTCCGCCATACTCTACCTGTCATCCAGTGAGCCACCTCAGCTGTCCCACGAACTGTCCGGCTCCACCAGCTGTCTCGGTCCACGCCCTGGCCGCCAGCTGGTTGCTCCTGAAGCTTTTCCACTGGCTTTCTGCTGCTGCTCCTACCGGTCGCAGGTCGTCCCCGCCAGTCATTCTGCTGGCCGCCTGAACCCGCCGGTCATCCCCGCAAACCACTCTGCTGTCCGCCTGCACTTGCTGGTTGTCCCTGCAACTGCTCTGCTAATAGCTCAGCAGCATAGCGCCAAGCTCCCCACAGCATACAGTGATTTCAGCTGTTCAGCAAGCTCAGCTCATAATAGAGGAGCCTCAGTGCTAGTGCTCCACTGGCCCACAGTGAAGTCAACTCAGCAGCTCACAACTAGACTCCTAATGGAATTCAAATTAGTTCTGATATTCCACACTGAAGAGAGGAGTGGGTGCAATCAGTGTTGTTTAGGACCTCAGACAGGGCCCCACCACCAGGTATGAAGACTTGTCCCCAGCCTCTCTCAACTTGACTGGGTTTGGAACCCATGCCCCTTGTCTAACAAGTGCTACTTAGTTTATGGCAAATCCCTTTGTCATAAACAGTTCCACCATTCCATTGTCCTTGATTCACATAATCAGGGTAACAACACTTTTATCCCCCCGCCTCAATAACAGAGAGACTGGGGATCCCATAGTGACCAAAGTGACCATTTGGGCTGCTGTGAGCACATACTAGACAGGGTGAGTGTGTCTATGCAAATTGGGTGTATCTATGCAAATGAGATCAGCCCCTGAAGTCTCTTTGCACCACTTGCCACAGTTCACCACCAGATGTCAGGGTAGAGCTTATCCTGACCCTGCTTACACCATTAGAATATAATTACTGACTAAATATAGTTTTAAGCATACTTTTTTCATCTTCATCTCACTCAAATACCATATCAAATAATTTTGTTCAATCTTTACAAAAGGATACCACATAAGGATCAGTTCAAGTTTGAGAAATATCATCTTCAAATATTTTTATGGAAATTATATGTCTGAGTTTTGGAATGGACTAGCTCTACTCCAAAGTTATTAATAGAGAGAGAGAGAGAGAGAAAGAGAGAGAGAGAGATCCTAACCTGGTGCGAGTAGCCATATCCGAAACTTCCATAGCAGAACATAAATTCCACTTCCGCTGTGCAGAAAACCTGAAAATGTAACATTTTTCTTTTTTAAATGTAACAAGTAATTAACTCTTACAGCAAATACATGCCCAAACAAGTTCCACAGAAAACAAATACAAGTATGGTAAGTAAAGGGAAAAAATACATGTCCCTCTCTTTGTTCTTTTGCACAGTTGGTAAACTAAACCCAAAGCTGCAGGGAAGGTGGGAAGGTCATGGACAGAGCTGTCCCATCTATAGGATAGTTTTGGGCCCAACACAGCATGGGGTTTACCAGAGTGCCTAGTGCCACCAGTAGCAGTCAAGCCCATCACTACACTCACTGATGGCAGGGAGAAGCAGAGTGACCCTGACCCAGCCCCAGCCTGCTGTGCTCCCTTGACTGCTTTGACACAATTTGCACCTCTCTAAACTGGGACTCTCTGGTCCTGAAACATCTGTGGCTAGGAGTCAAATGGCAGGAGCGCTGCTGGCTAGGAGCCCTGCTGGCGGGGGGCAGCAGCTGGAAGCCTGGTAGGAAGCCTGGTGGCTAGGAGCCCTGCTGGCTGATGGCACCAGTTGCCAGTGGGAGGAAGCCCAGAGGGCCTCACTGCTGCTCCAGCTTCTAGTGGGGGAGGTAGCCCCTGGGGAAGAGCAGCTGTTCTGGCTGCTGCCAGGAAAGAGAATTCAGGCACACAAGGCCTGGATCAAGCCACTACTCTGGCTGCTCCTACCAACCCTGGGACCACTGCTCAGGTGGTCCCAGGGGCCAGCCACATCAGGCACTGCTCAGGCTGTCCCCTGGGCCAGCTGGCTGGGGCGACCAGAGCAGAGACCAGTATTGCGGACAGCCAGGACTACACCAGCAGTAGACTGAGGCTGGGGACTAGAGCCATACAGGGTCAGCCATGCTGACTGCTGCAGCGGACACAGAGTCCTAGTGATCTGTAGCGCAGATGGATTGGAAGCCAGTGAGATCAGGACTAGACAAGAGAGCAAGGAAGACCCTGGAAGAGAGAGAAAAGATCTTTTGTCATGAAAAAGCCTATGAGGTCAACACTAACAAGTAGTCCTGTGGCACCTTAAAAACTAACCAAAATATATAGACTAACAAAACATGTAGATGACCAGTCATTTGAAGAAGTGGGCTGTGCCCACGAAAGCTCATGATGCCATCTACATGTTTTGTTAGTCTTTAAAGTGCTACCAGACTGTTTGTTGTTTTTTAAGTTTATCCTGTTCAGACTAACATGGCTACCCTCTGAAGCTTCCAAAATATATAGAATCATGAGTTTTCGTAGGTAAAACCTACTTCATCAGATGAATTGGACATCAATGACACTGACTGTGGAGATAAGGGCTTGGCGGCTGACACCAAAGGTGCTGGGACAAAAGTGACAGGGTCGAATATCTCTCTGGTAGCAGTATAGGCACTGGTTTTAACAGAGCCATTGAATCTGGAGTCAACAATGCCACATCGTACGATGGTGGTGAGTGTCAGTGCTTCCAAGTAGAGCACAGATGACTTTTTCAGAGCCTTTTTGATAGGTCAAGAATGAGTCATCAAAAGTATATCAGTCTGTGATGGCAAAGCTAGCTCTGAGTGCTTCGAAGAGGCTGAGGAGGAAAACGAGAAACATAGTAATATTTCTTCCTGGATTTCAGCTTAGTGGCTGAGGCAGTGGGAAGGCACTCTTCCAGAAAAATTCACTGACCTCTTGTGGTCAGGGTCAGTCTCTGAGGAAAGATGCACTGCCTCGCTGAAAAAATGTACTTTAAGGCAGAAATCCCTGTGTTTCTTTATTCTTGTGAAGAAAGAGGAACTAATAGGACATTTATCCTTCACATACCCCTTGCATAAGCAGATTAGGCAACTAACAGGGATCACAGCCTTCCATGTGGCACATAGTTTAATACCTCTGCATAGTAAATACCACAAACTAATTTACTAACTACACTAAACTAAACAACAGGTTGGATTTCCCTGGTCCAGCTCCCTTGGGACTTGACCGGTCCCAGACAACGGAGTTTGCCAGATCAGGGAAGGTCTATGGGGGAAGGGTGCCAACTTCTCCGCTGGCCTCCTCTCCCTAGCTACCTGGTACCACTTCCCTCAGGTGCCTGGCTATGGCAGCCATGTGGGCTCGGCAGCCCTGCAAGCTCTGGCAGCCCCATAAACTCCAGTGGCGGCCCCGCAGGCACTTGCTACCCCACTAGCCCTGCTGGCACTTGTGGCACCACTAGGTGTGAGCTCTGCAGTCCCTTTTTCCTGGCCCCACTGGCTGTGGGTTCGGCAGTCCCCCTGTCTTGTGGTCTCCAGTGGCCCCGCTGGCTTCCCAGCCCCTCCAGCTGCTAGCTCTGCTGCCCCCCAGGTGCCAACAACCCCACCGGCTTCCCAGCCTAGCTGGTTAAAGGCTCTGGTGCACTCCTTTATGTTGGGGTTCACTAGTTCGGTAACATCCATGGTACTGCTGGACCAGAGTGTCCCAGAACACAGAGGTTCAAACTGTACAGCTCTATAAAAGAAGTGTTTCTTATATTCAAAGGCTTACTATCTGTAGTTCAAGGATGAAGGGGAAATCCATCTCTCTCCATGGGTAGTAAAATCCAACAGAAAGGGAACAGGCAACCACAGCCCTATAGGGGCTCTGCACATTAGAAAAATGGGAGCCCATCTGCTGCTCGCGGGTATGGCCAACAAATTCTCGTGTGCACTGGGCACACGTACATATACTTCTGATACTATCACTCAAAGGAGAACTTTTCCCCTGTCTACTTTCATGTATCAGTTGCTCCTGATAATACACACATTCAGTTAAGCACTGAATTCAGAAAGTCCAGGTTCGCTTACAGACTTTGTCTTCAAAAGGTTAATGTACCAAAAAAAAAAAAATCATTGTTTAATCTGTCTGATGCATTTTCAAACTTCTCATAGAACATGGCATACATTAATAAAATACATAAAGTAACATACTGCTAATTTCATACTGCTATGGTTCATACATAATGGCAATATTAATCTTACCAGCCTGTATTCTCTAGATAGTATAGACACAATGGGCTAGACAAGGGCTGGGCAAGATACAGCCCGGGGGCCAGATCTGGCCTGCCTAACACTTTGATCTGGCCCACAGACAGTACGTGGCCACTTTCTATTTATATCCTCCTGCCTGTGACACCGAATTTCCAGGTGGCGGCTCAGGCAGTAGGATCCTATTTAAATGGCTCATGGCCGCGACACTACCCAGCAAGTAGCCAGAGCTGCAAGCCTTTTAAATAGCTGCAGCAATCCCAGATGGCTGCCAAGCAATGTGGTAGCCAGGGCCGGATTAAGGGGGGGGAGGACTAGCCGGGCAGCTGCCTGGGGCGCCAACTTATGGAAGGGGTGCCTAATTGCAGCTGTAGGGGGTGCTGTGCTCCTGGGGTCAGGGGCTGCGCAGCACTCCTTAGAACCGCCATCAGGAGCTGTGCGCCCGCAGCCAGGGGCTGTGCGGCACCCCCTAGAGCTGCAATCAGGCGCCGTGCGCCCAATTGCAGCTGTAAGGTACACAGGGTGCCCAGGGGGATGGCTCAAGCTGGCCCTGGTGGTAGCAGCAAGTCCAGGAGCCACGAGCCCTTTGCTCTGTTTTTACTTCAAAGCCTTCAGCCTCAGACAACTCTGGGGGCAGGCTAATCCCCAGCCCTGCCCCTTCCGGGTAGTGCAGCTGGCCCATGACCATGTACCAAAATTCATTAAGTGGTTGCCCTGCAAAAATTATTGCCCACCCTGGGCTACATTCACCTATGCAGCGTAAAAGGGAAATACATCCTGGGGAAAGAGCAGGCATTGTTTTTATGCCAACTTTCCTCAAGAGTAATGCCGTTGGAAGGAGAGTTTAGTTTCGATCAAGGATTCCATTGGACCTTCACAAAAAGAGTCTGCAAGGGGGTGCACTCCACTGATAATTGTCTGTTCATTCTGGCTATGCCCTCTTTCTACTCAGCACTATCCTCTGTTGTGGATATAATAGGCAAATGGGTTTTTCTGCAGTTTTTGTTGCTCTCAAGGATTATACCATGGGAAGGCCCTATCTTCCCACAATCTCAATCCTGGCCTGAATTACACTGCCAAGTCTACAAACCAATGTGTGTCAGAAACTGGAGATGGTTTACAGAGGTGGGGAACTTAAAGCCCGGGGGCTGGATGTAGCCCCCAACTTGCCTGGATCCAGTCCCCCAAGACTCATGTCTTTGCCCTTCCCATCCCTGGCATTGGGGAGCCCAAGCTGGTGCTCCAGCCCCCCTGCCACCTTCCTGTGGACTGGAGCACATAAAATCTACTAGCCTGGGCCCCACTAGGCTCTGGTGTGCAAGGGGAGTGTCTTCTTCAGTTGGTGGGGTTGGATTTGGATCAGTGAGGATTTGGATTTTTTCCCCTCACTTGTGTGCGGCCCTCAACTTATTTTTCTGAGGGTCAGGGGGCCCCCAACTCAAAAAGGGTTCCCCACACTTGGTTTAGAAGATTATGAAAATGTACATAGCCTACAGTAGGTTAGCACAGTGTTTTTCAGAGACTGATTTTTGTGTATTACTTCTCCCTGATCATTTTAAGTCTGAAATTTTATGATACAGACTTTATCTAAATTCGCTGTCAGTAATATTAGTGCAACTTACTCCTCTGAAGTCAATGAGGCTGAGCTGACACCACTGGGAGTAGACTATGGTCTATGCACTGTATGTAAACTTTATGATCTTACTGGTGTTATGCTGATTTACCTCAGTCAAGGACTGGGGTCTACTTACCATCTTCTCTTTCACTATCCATTTCTCTCTCTTTTTAGTCACTTTAACATTTAGTGCTTCTGGAAGTGTTCAATTTATATGCATGTGTCTGTATGCAACTCAAATTTTGCAATGACATGAAGTCACCTGTGTTATTAATTTGTAATTTTCACCAAAGAAATCCTACCATGTTTCCAATCCTCATGGCACATGTTTCAGTGAACTGGCCTTTCTGGGTAGGTGGGGAGAGAAAGAAAATGAACAATTTAGACTCACAAAGCTCCAAAACTAGTGTTTTATAGCAATATATTAATCAAGTACGTAAAGGAATACACAATATTTGCAACTACAACAGATGAAGACATCACATTCTTTTCCCATTCATGATTATAGTTTACATGCATGGAAAGGTAGTTAAGCACTCTAGATGTTTGGCATTGAGATTGTGAGCAATTCCTGAATTCAGCAATTCCCGAATTCAAATCCTAATCCTGCCACCGTCACTTTTTGTCTTTACGAAAGTAATTTAGAACCAGATTGTCAAACCTGAGTGTGAAAATTAGGTGCCAAGAGTCCAGTATTATGCATTCAAATAGTCCCCCAGAGTTTAATACTACTAATCACATAAGTTATGCACATGCCAGTTATTGCAGGATTGGGACACAATTCCATATAGAGGTGCTGTACTGGCCTGGGTCCAGAGGGAGGCCAAGCTGCACACCACAAGAAAGCAGATCAGGTTAGCAGTTCAACCCAGCTCTATTTCAGGGTGGGCCTGCAATAGTTTGGATACTCTGGCCTATACTCAAGCTGTACAACTATCAAGAGGCCCAGGCCCTAGTTCAGAGCAGGGCAACAAGAGTCTTGGTCCTATTTTCTGGCTGAGCAGCAATCAATACACGCAGGTCCTAGCTTAGGGGGCGGGGAAACATATTGTTCAGGCGCTCAGGCTTCTGCTTAGGCAGAGTTACTATTAATAGGCCCAGGCCCTTGTTCAGAGTGGGGGAACAAATAGTTAGAGACGCAGGCCTGGGTGCAGGCTGATCAGAAGTCAGTATGTCCTGGCCCTAGTTCAGGGCTGGGCAACAAACAATTAGTGGGCATTTTGCCAAAAACAGGAGTAGACTGCCACCCAGTGAGTGGGATGGAGTAGGCAGGGGGAGACATCCCTGCCCAGGACCCTAACAATGGTGGCTTAGATTGCTGCTGCGTCAGCGGGATCCTGACCACAACATGCGGACCAGTTCACTTCTATATCCTCAGCCAGACATGGGTTGGCTACCCCTGGGCTACTTCCCAGCTCCCTCTGTGGTCCTCCCTGGCTTGGTCCCCACTCTTTCAGGCCTGCAGGGAAAAAAAACTATGGCAGCTTCCATCGGCTAAGGCCTGGGATTGTCAATGGTCCTAGCCAGTTGTCTGGACATGCCAGCAGTCCTGGCCAGTTTTCCTCTTCCCAGTCGTGTGGCCAAGCCTCCCACCCCGGGAGCTTGGGCAAGGCATCTGGTTTCCTCTGGAGCTGGGGCCCAAATGAGCTCTTATCTCCAGCCTTTATACTTCTGGCACTGGCCCTCTGCTTCCTAGGGGTGAGACTGGCCCTGCCCACCAGCATGTCCTGGGGATTTCTTACCCTTCTGGGTCAGAGGAAGCCACGCTGCCACACTACAGGTGCTCAAGCAGTTATTTTAGGAACTATGATTATTTTTGACACCCAAGCTTGAAAAATTGGGCTTACGCCCACAGTATCTTATGGCTATTGAAATGTAATTATCTACACTATCTTGCAAGTCTTGTGGAGATTACATTTTTGTAGGCACTTTAAAGATAGAAAGCATAATATAAGTACCAACTATTATTATTATTATAGTACACTATCACCCACTCAACTAACAGTTGGACACACAAGGAAATATTGCTTTCTTATATTAACTTCTCTATTGTTTTAATATGCCAGCATACAAATATTATGTATTAATTTGTATCCTGGTGTTGTCAGTATTGTTTATCTTGTGTACTACTCGCCAAAGCATGTGTGGAAGAAACAATTTAGAACCCAGATAATTTTTTCCTCTGCCAGACCCACCTTAATGACTTCATAAAGGTGTACAGTTGCACTTCCCAGTAACCTTGGAAAGTCTTTTGGACCTTGAAATCCCACCAATTCTAGTATAATTCTATTCCGTTCATCCCGCTGCTGCCTTGGAACCTGACAGTTAAAACACAATGTTTACATGCTATCCACATAATTACCACCATTTTTGTTGCATGGAGAAAAGGGTTAAATCTGGGGCAAACTGACCTATCTGCTACAGTACTTACTGCAGAGTTCTGAGGACAAGTGCAGGCTAGACTCCCACAGATCTCTTTGAAACAAATGCCGTGATAGCATGCACCTTCCATTCAGGCTAAACGGGAGAATACTTAAATGCCCCTTTATTTAGTAATAGTTGAAATAATGGAAACTTCCAATGAAGAACTAGGCTTGGAATTATGAGAATGGAAGCTACCGCCTGCTGGTTGACCTTACTGCCTTCAGAGAAATAAGATGTGTACATGTTCTTTGTAAATACACAGGACTTTGTGTACCTTCTTTGTAAGTAAACAGGACTGCATCACACAAACATCTGACTTACATCAAGTTTTCATAAAGGAAACAATATAAAACATTCTGAATTTTGGCTTATCACTTTGATTAAACATCGGTAACACTAAGTTTTGTTTACCTGAAATAATAGAAATTCATTCCCCATGAAAAAGGCTAAATGGAGAGCCTAATCCCACCCCCTAGCATAAGAATCCTGACTTTCCCTCATAACACCCAGTCATGCTTCACATCAATCCCACTACCTTCTCCCTCCTGGTGGCACAGCCCAGGTTAAGCATGCTTATTGTGATAAAGATGGTGCGGTGTAGTACAACTGGCGAAAGTGGAGTAAAGAGTGTGTTTTGAGTAACATACCGATCCCAACTGCTGGGGCCACGCCCCCCAGCAATCTGTCAGGCTGCACCCCTGGGGGGAAGGAGTTTGGGGGAAGTGAAGAGTGTGTTTTTAGTAACATACACCTACATGCTATTCTTAAAAATAAGCCAAAAAAAGTCTACATAAAAAAAGTTAAGCTGTACATAAGGTTGCACATATATATCAATAACATAAGAGAAAAAAATCTTAATACAACATGCAATTTTAAAAAAATACTACTATCTGAAAGCCCAGAAATTTAGTTAAGATTACACTTGAGTCAAACACTGGAAATCACAGAAATGCAGAATTTAAATACCCAAAGCAATCTTAAAACTGCCCTTTTATTCTCTACTCTAAACTATGGAATAACTGTATGCCTGTTCACAATTTAGCTTGATCAGTGACAGAATGAAAAAAAGCCAGCTCTAGATATTTAGGGCTACCATGCTATTAAACCAATAATGAGAATTACATTACCAAAAAGCAGAAGCCGTAATAATACCTGTACGGAAAAATACTTCACATCTTCAAAATGAATCACAATGTCTTTTCTGCTCTTCTTTAGCTGTGATTTGAAAGTTTGTGGATTTGTGCATTTCATAACTTCATTAACACTAATGCGAAGCAGCAAGTTTGTGTTATGCTGTACATTAACTGAAAGTCATCAATTTAGGAAGCAGATAAATCTTTTTAGTGAGCCAGGAACAGTAAACGGGTTTATTACATGGTAAATGAAAATAATGAGCAATACACACTGAGCTGTAATTTTCCTCACAGCTTGTATGCGAACTAGGGATGTGAAAGTGTAAACATGTATACGGTTAACTAATGAGCCTGAGATCATCAGTTAACGTGGATGGTTACAGATAGCCCTCCTCCACCCCCCCAACCCCGTGCTGCTGCTTCTGTATCATAAGCAGCAGTGCGGGGAGGCAGACAGGCAGGAGCTGGTAATGGTGGGGAGCCGCCTAATCCCCCATCACTGCCTTTATATCATGTATATTCATTTTTTACAATAAAAATAAGGTAACTTAAAAATATAAATATGTGAACAACATACTATTTATTCAAACAGGAAGTTTTTTGCAAACTGTATTTCAGTTTTCCCAAATATCGTCCGGTCACTAACAGTAACAATGTGAATCGTTTTAAAATAATTTGTCACCCTTTCACGAGTCAACAATTCAGTCTAGAAAGAATGCTGATTGCTATGTAACAATTCTAATACCTTTGCTTTTTTAAATTATAACTGTTCTCTCCATTTAAATGCGCCTTTTGTTTCTATAGTACATAAACAAGGAAGTCTACTCAGTGAGACTCCTTAGGATTCTATTACTGGAGTCTGGTTCTCTGCTATGTTCCTCATATGCTCATACATTACGTGAATGTCAGGCTCAATAGATAGAAAAAGAAAGCATTATCTCTTAAGTGAACTATATTAACCCACAAAGTGAGATATTCTATACTTCCCAGAGTATTCTAAAGGTGTTGTATTCTAAAGGTGTTGTCAATACAAAGATAGAAGAAAATATGCTTAGCAGAAGGTAGGGAAATAGAAAAGGGATACATTTTGACGTAAAATCTTTACACAACTTCACGTGAACAGCCAGGCAACCAACCTAATGAAACACAAAAGAGGACAAATGATAAATTAATTCCAGAAAAATCTTGAAACTTTCTTTAGGCCCTGATAACAGCAATTTTTGTAAGCACTTCTTAACACAAGAAGTTATTTATAAATTCATGTTTTGCTTTGTGGCAAAACAATGTAATAACTTAATCTTTATAAAATGGTGAGAAGATACATAGCGTTTCAGATAAATACAAGCTTCCAGAAAACCCACAAAGGCTGAAAGCTTTTCTTTCTAACTATTGGGACAAATCCTGGAACCCTTATTTAATTTTGCCTAAGGCTATGTCTAGACTGCAAGCCTCTTTCGAAAGAGCCTCTTTCGAAAGAGAGCGTCTAGACTGCACGTTGAACTTTCGAAAAAGCGGCTTGCTTTTTCGAAAGAAAGCATCCAGTGAGTCTGGATGCTCTCTTTCGAAGAAGCCCTATTTACATTCAAGAACGCCTTCTTTCGAAAGAGGAACTTTCAAAAGAAGGCGTTCTTCCTCGTAAATTGAGGTTTACCGCCGTCGAAAGAAAAGCCGCGTTCTTTCGATTTAATGAGGTGAGACGCAGGTGAAGTTTTTTCGAAAAAAGACTACTTTTTTCGGAAAAAACCCCTGAGTCTGGACACAGCCTAAGGGAGTATTTCAGGATTCAGTCAACACAGAAACCCATTACTCCTTTTAGAAAGGTAAAACATATGTCTCAGAAATATAATAGTTTGAAAGACATATAGTGAGAGAAAAAAAATAACAGCATAAAAGTTATTTTTAAAAGTAATAAGGCACTATAAAGTACACGAGATGGTGAATAAATTCCATTTTGGAGATCATCTGGGACACAACCCAAACATATCTATATTTTAGGCAAGATATTATTACTTCTTTAACAATGTTTTAAATAACATTAAATAATTGGTTTGAGAAATACAATATTTATTTACATTTGTGGAAGAAAACAGCCTTCACTCTGCGTTTTTAAGCAACAAGTAGCAGTTTATTCGAGCAATATTGCAAGGGAAGCCTGATTTGGACGGGGTGGGGGGAAGGCCCCCTCCCCCAGGCAGATCTTCGAACACAAATAATTATGAAGCAGCTTATAGACTATGCATTACATATAATAACAATAAACAATTAGTCTCCTTCCCATTACAAACACCAATGTCTAACAGTTATTTTAGTTCCACCCAGATGCTACCTTATCTTCAAAGTTCTCACTGGAGTCAGCATTCCATCCTTATCTCTGTATGGAGGCGAGAGGCGAAGGCAGAGTTTTATTACAGCTCTCGCATTGTCAAGAGTCAGAATTAGCCTGACTCTTGCTCTCTTGCCAACAAGACTAAGATGGCTGCACACAAATCCACTTATTCCCTTTTTCCTGCCTCCACACATTTTTATAGACCAATCGATAGATCTGGTATTAAATCTTCATTTGGTAAAGGCAAAATTTGGAGTTGCTTTATAAAAGACAATGAACTCATATAGATGGAGGCTATGGGTACGTCTAGACTACAGGCTTCTGTCGACAAAGAGCGTCTAGACACATTTAGTTCTGTCGACAAAGCAAGCTGCTTTGTCGACAAAACCCTGTAGTCTAGACACAACCCTACATGCAATAACACCTTCTGCCGACAGAACTCTGTCGACAAAAGGTGTTATGCCTCGTAAAATGAGGTTTACCAGTGTCGACAAAACTGCTGAGTTCTGTCGACGTTATGTCGACAGAACTCAGCGGTAGTGTAGATGCACGTATAGTTTTGTCGACAAAAGTCCACTTTTGTCGACAAAACTCTGTAGTCTAGACACACCCTATGTCTCCCTTTATAGTTACACAATGTCTGATCCACAAGTCAAAAAATTACTAGTAAACCAAACAATTTGTTTCCTTGGCTTTAGCTGAGAATGCAGAAGCTTAGTGAAATCAACATCAATAACTATTCTGCAATAAACAATTTCAAGCACATTCCTGAACAAGTACATTCAAGTAAATTAGGCGATTAAATTTTAGCAAGATTTGAATAGTAATTTTTAAATCTCTGTAAAAACTTAAAGGGATTTTCAAACTTCATTGTTTTGTAGATATCTTAATAAAGATTCTCATAGACTCACACCTCCTCTCATTATCGATCACATGAACAATCCCCCTCTAATTAAGAATTGTCTCGTCACATTAATATCCATGTAACCGCTAGAATAAGTACTTAACTAAAACTCACAAAACACTAATTTAATATTACTTTTATATGTCTTAAATGTAATTTAGTAGCTGGAAATAAAGAGATAAATGCAGCCCTATAAGACCGGCCAACTCTTAATTGACTGCCAGCTAGTCCTTGAAGTACCACAGACCACTGTTGAAGAACCAATGATCTGTGGTATACATACCACATCTCCACAAGGGACTAAACTATGGACATTAGCAGTTTGTTCAGTTCCTTTCTCAGATGTCTTCAGGATTTTCTGCAACAACTACCAAAAGAAATAAAAAAGATTTTGCAACTGACCTTTCAAAGAGAAAATATAGTACAATATTTCCTAATTAATTCCAAGATTACAACATTACCAAATAAGTATATTATGCAGCTTCCAACAGAAGAAAACACTCCTATGACTCTACCAGTGAACAGAAACCAATAAAGTCTAAAACAGTATAATAATATGAGTCTTCCATAGGAAAGCATCCTGACACAGTTGTTTGGACTGTAAACATGTTTATGTATATTAATAGACATACCTCTGATTTTCATGGGCAATAACACATGTTGCTCTACTTAATCTTAGGCCAGGTCCACGCTCGAAGGTCAGCAATTCCAGCTATGTAAAAAACATAGCTGGAGTGGACTTACCTTAAGCTGAGCCTTGGCGCTGTCTGTACAGCAGGAGGTGAACTGGAGAATCACCCTTCTATTCCCTCACGAGGGCTATGTCTACACTGGTGGGTTCTTACGCAAGAATGGCTGTTCTTGCGCAAGAATCTGCAGAGTGTCCACATTGCCCACCTGCTCTTGCGCAAGAAGATTTACAGTACGGCATGGTATGAGAGGGCTTCTTGTGCAAGAGCTACACTTTTTTAACAAGTATAAGCCCTCTTGTGTAGGAACTCTTGAGCAAAAGGGCAGCGTGGACACTCAGCAGGGATTTCTTGCTCAAGAAAGCCATATGGCTAAAACGGCCATCAGAGCTTTCTTGTGCAAGAGCGCGTCCACACTGCCATGGGCACCCTTGCGCAAAAGCACAGCGCGCACACGGCAGTGGGGACGTTTTCTTGAGCAAGACATCTTGCACAAGAACAACCACCAGTGTAGACACAGCCAAGGAGCGGGAGTTCTAGCATTGATGGGGGCACCCTCAGCGTTCAATTTTGGTGGGTTTTTACTCGACCCACTACGTAGACCTCCGTAGGAACAACCGCCAGAGCCGCGATCTTCGGGCAAGTGACGACGTGGCCTATTGGGAGTCACAGAACTTGGAAACGGAGGACGCGTGTACAGCGGCGAAGAGGACGTGAGGGACTCGGGCGCGAGCTTAGACGGCGACGCGGGTCTTTCTCCACCAGACGTGGGCCCAAGCGACCCCCTTCGTCTCTGTGGCGCCAGGCTCCTCGGCGCTGCCGCGCACACAGGCGAAGGCGGACGCCTCCCCACAGGGCCACCTCAGACAGGTGGCCACACAGCAGGGTCGCGCCCCCACTGGCGGCCCACGCCCCGCCCCCACCTTGAGCACGGAGCGGGCCTTGCCCAGCTTGGCCGCCTCGAGGCTGAAGGAGCTCAGC